AAACTGGCCACATATCCAGTGTAACAAGATTATACTTCATCCAAAACTTTTCTTCATTCATTTAGTGTTATTTGTCTCATCTCACCAAGGTTACTGATGCATTCACACACATGTTGGGTATTTAAAGTTTAACTTAGCCTTCTAATATATTATTAACCTTTAGTATAGTTAGAATTTATTTTAAACAAATAAGTGAAATTTATTCGTTTCAATAGTCGTAGAAATGTATTTATCCAACCTAATTATAGACATTAATTATCCACTCATATACACACATAATACGCATATAGCAAAAGACAGTTTAACATTTATATATTTGTCAAAAAGACTATAATCACACTAATAAGCATTAGTTACCAGGTTGTGATAGGTTCTATTTGTTTAAAATGATATCCATTTCATTAAAAAATAAAAATGACAAAAACACTTGTTACTATGTTGAATACAATATTACCACAAGTGTAAACCACCTTTCTCCTACTCTTCCCTAGTGTTTATTTTTTCTCTCTCTCTAAATATGTGAACTATACGTGTACGGTTGTGTTGTGTATTGTCACGCTTACACGTAGGAGGTTTTGTATTGTACTCTACCGCCTATTTCGATATATTGTCACTACCATGACTTGTATGACTTGCTTCCGTTGAACATTGACTATCATGATTTAAACAATATTTATTTCAACCTTATTTGTAGAAAATAACATACATCTACGTGAATCTAAGTATAGACATACAGATATACAACACAACACTATACACTACAATATGGTGTCTGTAATTAAGTTTGAATACGAGATCTAACTCTTCTTATCTGTCGAATATACCTGTATGGCTTTGTTTGTTTGTTTGTTCGTTTTCTATGTTTAAAATTAATCTGTCATTCATCCATTCATTCATTTATCAGACACACCGACCACCCTTCTGACTAACTAACTACACAGTAGTTTATCAAAAAATGCAACAAGATTAAGTCAAAAAGAAAACCTCCAAAAAAAAATGTATGGAATATAAATTCAGATAGTTTTAGGAGTGAAATGGGGGGTACATTTTACTACTCTACAGGTTAACATGGTTACGGAAGATTAGTTTACATTAATACAAATAACACACACACACACTCACACATCACACATTTGTTGATGTTCATTCATGTTGATTTGGGAAATTACTTTTGTTGTCCTATAAACCTTTCTCACTCTTTCTATCTGTCCTCATTCACAATCGTTTACTCACAATTTTGATCATACACACATGCAACATAAGAGACACATCGATGCACAACAAAGCACATACGCCTACGCTCAACAATTATTGACTTAAAATTAGGTAAATTCAAGGATAAAAATGAAATTAATGTGTACATTCGTTTATGGTGTGTATACATATCATGATACCATCACAATCATAATACATATATATGCTACTAATTATCAAAAAATAATAGTATTATTATTATTACTATTAGAAACCTTATACTAAAGTTGAATATATAGTTTGCTGCCTACACCTGCATAGAAAGTAATAGTACTAATTATAGTATGCGGGATATCATCTAGATAGAACCCATCTATCTCTTCCAAAAGCTTTGAAACTACTCTACACATACATCACATATCATGGGATTTATTTCTCCCTTGTTGTGTACGCTTACAACTCACTCATTTACCACACACACATAATTCACTACTTCTGTCTCTATGGTCTGTTTACTTTTAAAAAAATACTTTGAGTTATAAAGCTTAGATAGATATGTGTGTATAAAGTGTGATAGCACGAAGTTTGACCACGGATTGATATCAGTTAGAGAACCATTGAAAAACAGCACTGGGGTACTGCCAGACAGCTGTTTCATCCTAGTTTGGGAATTATCGGCAGTACGCAACCACCACAGAAGGGTTCAAACCCAGGACCTTCAGGTTACAAGACCAGCCAGCTCGTATACCATTCAGCCACCACTGGGACCCGACTCCTCAATGGCCAGCCAGTCCATGAATTCTAACTTCTATCAATTCGTGATTTAGCGCGACCACCAACCAATGTCATCATTGGGAAGTACAAACTCGTAAAAACAAATCTAATCCTTACAAACCAACTCTTGAAAATTAATTTGACGCTCTCTAGTGACTTGCTACGGGACGGAATTTCCTGGAGTTCTAGTGAGAAGTCGTGACCAGTGAGGTGCATCCAGTAAAGTGCGAGAATGGATTTCCCACGGATGACATTGGTTGGTGGTCGCGCTAAATCACTAATTTATAGAAATTAGAATTCATGGGCTGACCAATGAATTGGATCCCACTGGCTGAATGTTATACGAGCTGGTTGGCCTTTTAACCAGATGGTCGTGGGTTCGAACTCTTCTGTGGTGGGTGCGTACTGCCGATAATTCGCAAACTAGGATGAAACAGCTGTCTGGCAGTACTCCGTGGTGGTTTTCAATGGTTCTCTAACTGATAACAATCCGTGGTCAAACTCATATATATATATATATTCAGTCAGTGTGGGGCGTGACATCTGTCCATGTATAATTAAATGGGCAAAGTTAAAGTATCCTGGCGAAAACCACAGTGACTTTGAATGATCAGTCAGAATTCATACGCAAAAAGTTGCATAATCATTGAAAAATTCATTTTAAAAAAACACTGCAAACATGATATTACACTATATAGTTGTCGCTTATATGTTGTAAGATTAGAGATAACCTTTCATAGCATTCCCTATATCTGACTGGTTCTTGAAGGTCAACTTCTAAAAGACCTTGACCTTGGCTATGATACTCTAACTTCACCATTAAATGGGCCAAGGAAGTGAAGTCATTTAGAAAAATTATCATAGTGAACATTGCAAATATGTTTATCATTATAATGTGAGATATTCTTCTTCTGTGTCTTACGTCCTGAATGAAACATAATTATTCAAGCGTTGGAATTTCATCAGCAATTGTGATGCTGTTAACTTGACGCTGACCAACATTCCCTCTTTTACAGTATTACTACACCAAACAGGCAAGGTTTATAAGTTCATCGGTATTAAACCGTCCCAGGACCTCTTGTATAAATGGAGAGCACTTACCATTGAACCATTAATGCATGATATGGGATATGATTAATAATATAAATGTCATTTTAAATGGTTAAAACAAATTTATACACGATATATACTACCTAGGGTAAACACATTGAAATACTTTCAGTCATCTAGTAAACGCTCAAATATGAAAAATAAATCCAAAATTTTTACGTAATTTAACAAATTTTGTTGAACTTTGATTGCTTTCTAAAACAGTTAAACTTCTGATTGGACACTAGTCAGTATCTAGTGTAATGTGTCTAGTCCTATATTTGGTGCAGACTGAATTCTATCAGTCAAGCTCGCAATGTGACTGCCATGACATTAATTAGCTCACCATCACGGTGCACTTTGAAATGTAGATATTAGATGGTTGGAGGTAATCAGCAGGAAGCCCTGCTTGGACCTAGGTTTCATGCTAGTTGGCACTCATAAGCAGATACGCCTTGCCGACGAGTGCCAACTAGCACGAAACCTAGGTGGAAGGCTTCTTGCCGATTGCTTCCAACCGTTTAATACCAACTGTTAAACTGTTGGTGATGAGTCAGCCGATATATAGTTGCTGTAAGCTTACAATGCCAGTTATCACTAAATTACACATTAGGAATGATCTGCTGTAAATTCCATTACATATGACACTGAAATGATGTATTTCCTACATTGCACCGAACTGGACTGTTTCTCCGTCCTTATGTTAAGTATAAAGTAATGGGTACGATTTCCAAGTATTGATTTGTGCGGATTTGATTGATTTCAAGTTAGATTACGAACAGATTTCATTTAGAGAATCACTGAATACTAGGAAGAACTGAACAGCGGTTTCATCCTAGTTTGGAAATCCTCAGCATTGGATTGAGTTTTAATCCAATAGCTGAATGGTTAGCTGACTCACCTTGTAACCTGAAGGTCGTGGGTTCGCCCCCCTTGTTGAATCATTAGGACGTTCTGCAAAAGACTCATGAAATGGGTTGAATTATCTGTCTAGTACATCCTGGTTTTCAGTGATTCCTTAATAATCCGGCTTGAAACCGATCGAATCCCTTTAAACCATTAGATAACGTAATTCAACCACCTGCCTTTCAGTGGTTCTTTAACTGATGTCATTTTGTAGTCTAACTTGTAATAGGTAAGATATTACAGATTCTGATATTAATCAATTTGTATGTTGTTAAAAAAGCAAAACAACAACCTGTAGATGGTGACCATCGTCTGGCTAAACAACCAGGCGCTATCAAGTAGTACTATTAAGAATAAAAATTCATAATCTTTAAGGAGGATAACTGCTTCAGTTAAACTTCTAGAAGGACTTCGAGTTCGTTTTCTGGTAGTTCACAGCTCACACTCATGGTTGGCATGTGACCATTCGTCATGATGGTCTGAGCCGTAGTTGACTGACTGTTCAGTTTAGCCCGCCCAATATGAATTTATGATCAGGCTGCTCTTAGAGACGTCCCAACCCAATAATGGAGGAATATAAAAATTATAGCAGTGTACAACAACTCCCTTGCTCCTTCAAATACCAGTTGGCCGCAGTTATTGTTCATTGATCTCCATCAGGGGAAATGAACTGACTAATTGTCCAAAATGACAAATATGAAGCTCTTCCTGTTTCAAAAATTGCTCCGATCTCCTCCAGTCTATTGAATAAGCATGCAATAGGATACTTAGCTTCATACTATATAACTCATACTAAATGTAACTCCATTTTATAGCTCATGAGCTTCATAAAAGTCTCATCTAAATGCTCATTAAACTGGTAATCTTAGTAACTAAGTGTTAGAACCATTCAGAAGTTTCCATTGCTCCCCATCCTCTACACATACACCACTAGTACTTAGACTAACTGCCAGATTACTCATATAAACTCTGAAGTGAACACTGACAGTTTAAATGTGTACAATTCCAACAATAAAATAAACAACGAAAAATCTTACCCAAATTCGAAATATTACTATTTATCTCATCACTTGAAGAATTATTGCCTATTTGTTTATTCTGACTATTGTATTGTTGATAATAATGACTAGCTGCATATAACCATGACAACGGATCAATCAATGTTTCAATTGTTTTCAGATTATCTTTTCCTTCTGAATTATAATGTAAATTATTAAGTAAGGATTGAAAGTTTGTAATTGAATCATACTTCATGTCAATATTAGTATTGTTACTACTATTATTATTATGATTATTAATAATGTTACTATTAATATGCAGTAATTCTGGATTACTATTAATACCGTTATTGATTTCATTTTTATTCGTGACACTACACTCATAATCATCATTATCAACTCTCTGACCATTTGAAAAGTAGGAGATTGTATGTCTTGATGTTTTATGCGTTACACCATTCATATTCTTACTCTTATTATTATTAGTTGTATTGGTGATATCAGTAATGGTTTCAGTCGAAGAACTATTATTACTGGTACTGTTGTTGATGAAAGTAACCATAGGTGATACAGGATTCGAAGAAGTAGTCATGCTATTGACATCTATGTGAGTAATATTTTGTGTATTCATTGGATAATGAAGTGGCTGACCTTGATAACTGTCTGATGATAACCGTTTTAGTGATAACAACGAAGATGATGAGGACTTTGCTTTACTTGTATTCAGTAAGTTTTGTTCATCATAATTCAAATATGTTTTATTATTATTATTACTGTTTTGAGAAGGATAATCATGTGAAATATTAGGAGATAAATATGATCGCGTAGATGGAGAAGGTGTAGAACTAGAATTACTGGTAGGAATATTAGGAAAAGAAGGCAGATTAGTATTTGTAGGAAGTTCTACTGCTCTATGTAAACATTGAGGATTTGGAGATCTACTGGAACACATATAACAAGATGATGCAGAAGGTGACACTGACGATGGTGTAACTCCAGCAAGACACAAGGGAGGAGGAGGTGGTGGCAGTGGAGGGGGGATAGGTGGACACGAAAAAGTTTTACATGGATGCGATGGAAGAATTGTTGTGCCTGGTGAAGAAGGAGATACTGCATCAGAACGGCATGATTTTATTTCATGTGTCAATAAGTCATGAGGTCTAATATTGTCTTTATTGTTGTTACTTAATTGTGATGCTTGATTAGCTGTTGACATGGCTACAATTAAAGCGGTTTCTAAATTTTCATTTGGTGATAATTGATATTTGCCTGTTTCAACTTCTTGTAAGCGTTTAGCTTTTGCTCGACGATTTTGAAACCATATTTTCACTTGTGTTTCAGTTAATGTAAGTTTATTTGAAAATTCTGCACGTTCTATAGAAAGAGAGAAAACAGACAGAAAGAGATATTTAAACAAAACTAAAATAACTTGATTAATACATTTCAAATCATTATTATCATATTATTTTATTCCTTTACATTCCCCACTGGAACATAGGACTTCAAGATAGAGCTTTGGAGCTTAGGTAGTAGTGGTTTCATTATTTACGATTTGCCAGCTTCACGCCTAACCTTCCCTCTTTACCAGACTTACTGCAGATTTAGCGAGGTTTAGGAGTGCGCCGACTGAGGGTAGAACCTCAGACCACGCGCGTGGTTGGTGAGCCCTGTACCACTGGGCCACCGATGCACCGATGGACCCCAGTGACTGGATGGTCTACGAGCTTGGCTTGTAACCTGAAGGTCCTGGGTTCGGAGGGTGCGTACTGCCTGTGAGTTCCAAGCTAGGACGAAACATTTGCCTAGCACTCCCTAGTTTTCAATGGTTCTCTAACTGATATCAATCCGTGATCAATATACTTCAAAACCAATTTATTATTGTTTAGTGATCAGTGATCAATTGATAGATTGGTGACTAGAAGACACTATTCCAAATCGAATTACTCCCATTTATCTAAATGTAGATGATTAGCGTACTTCATAGAACAATGCGCAATAAAACTACCAATGTTAGTTAGTTAGGCTATTAGCCACACATTATTTCACAACAGTTGATGATATTAACCAGCTCTAGTGGCTGTAGTGAGTGGATGGGATTCGAACTCAGCATTCATTGGTTGAGTGTCGAGTGTTTATGCCACTCCTACTATTCTTACACGTAGTGTCATCAGCTCCATTTATCTCCTTTCACCATCACTATAATGATTTTAAGAAAAGATTAAAATATAGATTGAATAGTTATCGCACCATACTGTATAAACCATGTATAACCTTGTGTTCATTGGCCTAAATCTATTGATCCCTTAATGACATTCAACACTAACCTTGATTAATTAAATTCATTAATTGTCTGTTATATGATGATTATATAACAACAGTTGTGTAATGTCACTTATGGCAAAGTGTATATATACATTGTATCCTTTGACCAGTTGTTTGTTTGTTTGTTTGTTATGCATGTTCCTTTCATCCTAAAAACGATATTTGACAGATGGCTTAAGTGAATCTGACAATCCTTAATTTTGTCTCTACCCATATGGAAAACAAGCTATTATTGTCGCATTTCTTAATCACCAGTGTAAATATACCAGAAAATGCAATTATGTTACACTGGACATAGATGCAGTCCGTTTTTTTTCATTCTAAGTGGTGCACAAGGCCTCAAGATTGAGCTGTGAAGCTTCAGTAGCGCTGTTGCTTGCCTCACACTCAAAATTCCCTCTTTTTTTTTACTTCGCTTATTACCAGCTAGGCAAAATTAAGGATTAGATCAGCCGTTATTCCATCCCGAACCAAGTATCTGTTTATTTAGCGGAAATTTTACAACTGAACCACCAGCGTACACAAGTAATGAAGTAATCATTATTTTCCAGTCAGAAAACTGAATGGTAACACACGTCTGCTGTAAAACAAGAGTTCAGTTATCTCTGCGAACAGCTGAAGAGTCTCAGACATGTGCGAAACCGGTATTGGACGTTCAATAGTTATTGAAACTTTGACTTTTACTAGGTTACTAAAACTATTTTGAAATGATTATTCGATATGTAAATTTCAAAGTTCTATAGAAATCCCTGACCTTCATTCAATGAAGTAAAATTTAATCTCCAATGATTACGTAATACTTACGGAGAAATAAATAAGTTATTTATTTGTATTTACATTAAAATTTTCATATACATCATTAATATTGTAAAATCGGCTTAGTAACTGTGGCATAGATTAAAATTCTAAAAATAACAATCACTTTTAATAGAAAATATTTATTAATAGTATGATTATGTTATTTTTAGATGTTCTTTCTATACAAGCATAGAAAACCAGTAGTCAAAACACACACTGACACACACACACAAACATATTTGGTATTTTCAATAGTTGAGTGAATGAATGAATCACAAAAATGTGCATAGGATAAATTCAATTAATTAAATGCTGACCCGAGTCATCAGAATGCCATAAAGAGTTAAGCGTACACACAGTAAACATTTATATACATAATCGCTTACTACTATTGTACCATAACTAATGTATTCCTCCCCCCTACCGTCATCACCACCATCTTACCCCCTACTAAATGATGATGTAATAGAGATAACTAGAGATGACTAGAAAGTCATCTTCGGATTGGTTTTAGTGACCATGGCATTAAGAGTAGTATTTTAGATTGACATTTATTAGTGATGATAAGATGCCATGTGATAATTGTTCTGTTCTTATTACAACCAAGATGAAGCGAGGGTGGTAACTCCCTCCAACTAAGCTTACACACACACACACAAGTATTCATAGAATTCTATTCAGTAATGGTCATCGTAGTTAACTTGACGACTAATCTCTTAATAGATTATTCAATCGATTACCATGTATGTAGAATGCATGCATGAATAAACAGATGTATGACGTAATTAAAACTGGATACTAGCTAGCTACTTTCTTACTTAATAATAATAATAATAATAAATATGACTGAATAAATCAATCAGTCTATTAATAAATAGACTAAGTGAATAGGTTTCAAGTTTTGGCTTATGGAGGTTGAATTGACTTCAAGTTAGATTTAATACGAATTGACATTGTGGCGTGTGCCACTACTGATAAGATTTATCAATAGGATATAAAGAGGCAGTCGTCGGCACAAAAACATCAAATAACAGGGAGATAGACTTGATGTCAGAGAAAGCAAATGACACAGTGTTGTGGAGATACACGGGAAACGTGAAGGGAACACAAAGAAACACCATATGAAGGAAGGCGAGAAGTAGCAAAACACGGAAGATCCGTGCAAATGGTGCGTTGAAGATAAGGTGTACATAATTTCGCTATACAGAGATACCAAATTTACGAAGTCTCTGGTCTTCTACCATTACAACATTAGTTCAAGAACTATAGGGAAATAGTTCTTGATGATTCACTAACTGATGTCGGTTACCTTGAAAAAAATCAACTGTCTACAAATGAAACACTATGGAATAGATTTCTTGGAGTTCTAGTGATCAGGCATGACTGGTGAAGTCCACCAAATCACGGATGATATATATATATATATATATATATTCAATAAAACGTGTAGGTTTCATGGAATGAGAGGCACTATGAATACTAGTACTTCTAACACAATGCACTTTTTGATCTAATTCTGATTTGCCTATATCAATACTATTGTATACTAAAATTAATGGATTTCTAATTGTAGAGCTTGAAGAAGAATTGACTAGAAACAGTGATTCGCCCTGATTAATTATTCGTCTCAATGAAATTATAGAGATATTCAAAAGATATAAAGTTATCAGTTTTAGTGTTTTTTACACCAGAGATCAAATGTCTATGAAGGGCGCAGGATTTACATCATTTGAGAGTATCAGAGTGCTTTTAAACCATTCTTCATCAATATATACCTACATCGATGGTTAGATTTTAGATATTTCTTTGGATAGTAGATTAGTTTGTGTTTTTGAGTAATATTCGAGTTTGATGATATTAGATAGCTGGAGGCGATCGTCAGGATGCCTTCCAACTAGGTTTCGTGTTAGTTGGCACTCACCAGTCAGCGAGGCGTATCTGCAGCTTTGAAGTTTATTATTCTATTCATGAATACCGTTACCTCCGTTGCACTTAACCCATCAGTACACTTGCAAATAATTCATATGCTTGATACATAGGGTAGAGATAGAAGAAAACTTACAATAATAATGATGTTAATAATACGAAACTGATGTTTACCGAAATCTTATATCGGCATCAGGAAAACCAGAACAATATAATAATAATCTCTTTATTCCAAACAATAATAATTATACATAATGGAATTTTCAGCGTTTTCATACACATTGCAACAATTTATCTGCTTTTATAAATTATTATATATATAAAATTTAGAATAGTACTAATACTATAAATAGTGAAACCTCTATAAGCAGAATGTTGGTGGAAACATAATGAACTACAAATAGATAATATTATAGATGATATATATATTGATAATCTTTGCCTACACTTTGCAGTTGATTTAACAAGTTTATAAATTCTTTTCTGACATCTAACTCTTCACAAAAAATCCGTGATATGGTTGAATTTTTAAATTTAGTTGTACGAGCGTAAATTCTTATGAAGTTAGTTTCTTTTAGTTTCACTCCCGGAAACAAATACAAGGAAAAAGTTGTGAACAATAAATATAGGATGTTCAGCATCATACAAGACAACTTTAGCTGACTGCTTGCAAGAATTGAAGTACCTATTGACAGTAATGTCAGTTAGTTGAGTCAAAGACACGCCACTAACCCTGTTTACAATCTTCAGTGTTCCATGCAATATGACATAGTCTTTTTTGAGAAGTCCTGGGAAGAATTATGGCGAACAATAGAGGAGAATGGGAAGAATAAATAAGTTAAACAAATTCTAAGAGGAGAGGTTGAGTTATGCCAGAAAGTCTCAACGTCTTTATCATAGTGCCGTCAATATTACAGGAATCATGCGACTGAATCAGTTAACTCAAGTCTTGTTTGCATCCGAAACTAAAATCAATAATATAACATCTATATTGATTTAGTTTAAGACCATTTTGGTGAGACCATTTGTTAACTTCAGATGAGAATCTATTCATATATGAAGAATCCATTGCAGAAACTAGTGGGACGGAAATGGTTAAATCACCGATATATTTAATGAAGTTAGCTTTGGAAGAATATGGAAGATCACGCAAAAAGAAAGAGAAAAAGGGGGTGGAGATAGTACAGCCCCTTAAAACACACCAGTTTCCGTTAACAACAAAGTGGAGCGCTTTCCATTCAAAAAAATATGTTGTTTTATACCCGAAAAGTAAGAAGACTGCCACTTCGTGACCCGGGACCCAGTACTTGCTGAAATCAGCTTTCTTA